AGCCCAGACCGTTCTAGTCTGAATACCGTCGTACGTGCTCACTGGTGTAGGAATATCTCTTGGGTCCTTCCGCTTGAGGCATCACTGTGAGGGGTTAGATACAAAGCTGCTCCGGTTCCTTTTTGCTCAAGTCCTGCGTTTCCAGAGTGGCACCAGCCAGAGGGGCAGAGTGTATCTCTGTTGGTAAGAGGAAGAGGTGTGTTCTTGGACCCCCAGACTGGGGCTGCCCTCCATGCCTGGACTGGGAAGCATCATGCTAAGGTGTGAAGAGAATAGAAGGTCCCCAGCAGCAGATTTGACAGAGGAGCAGGGGCTGTTTCCTTGTCCCTGCTTCGGATGCCAGATGGGAAAATGATTCCCAGGCAGTGGGCTGCAGGGAGCATGCGAATTGGCCCGTCTGCTCCTGGTTCGGTCGGCTGCTGCCTCCGGGGCTCAGCAGGTTCTTTGCCTGTGTCGATTCCAGCGCTGCCTCTTCATGAGAACAGCGCTGCAGCCACCCAGGTACTGTGCGGGGCTCACTGCCCACTCGCTGACCCTATGATCCTGTCGCCCCACTGGGTCCTTCCTCTCTCTCTGCTCCACGGTCGGAAGCTGGCAGTTGTGGCTGTGGTGATGCGCGAGGCAGACTCCTTCACAGCTGGGCTGGGGCTGTGTGGTTGTCACAGTAGAGACAGGGGACAGGGATGCCAAGGCAGATGGTGCCACTTCAGATCACAGCCACATCGGAGGGACAGGTTCTTCTTCTAACGAGACTAAGATCTGGCCCTCTGTCGCTCAGGACTTCAGCATGAAAACAGGATCTCTACGTCCTCAGAGTTCATGGCATCCTGTTGCTTTAGTGACCCCTCCTTGAAACCAGACAATATTCTGATCTCCTGTCCGACCCTGCCCTGCCCAGGCCTCCCTTGGCAGTGAACGGAAAACACTTTCTTGTCCTGCCAAGAGCGCAAACTGCAGACCTAAGTTGGCTGGTGTGTGCCAGAAAGCTCAGCCTGCTCCAGCAGTGGGGGGCTAATGGGCAAGGAGGATGAGAGTCAGGCGGATGGAATACTGGAGGTACCGCAAAGTGGCAAAGGGTTGGTGTTTCCTTCCTTTCTCTAGCAGGAGCTCAGCCTGATCCCTTTCATTGCCTAGGTTAACAGCCTGGCTAGAACCAGATCATGGGCTGAAGAAGTTAGTTAATCTACGTACAGTGCTTTGAAAACGTAAAGCGCTACAGTCTATAAGTGCTAAGGAGTGAGGCAGCCGCCCAGGGGCTAAGGCCCTGGGCTGGGAGCCAGGAGATCTGCGGTCTGCGCCTGGCCCTGCCCTTGGCTCTTTGTGCGATGCTGGGACGGTGACGTCCTCGCTCTGCGCCTCAGTTCTCCCTCTGGCGAGCGGGGCCATCCCCTTTGTAAAGCGCTTTGAGATCCACGGACAAAAAGCCTGAGACAAGTGCTAAGTATTGTGGGCCCATGCTGCTCAGCGGGAGCAGAACTGATCTCTCCAGCAGTGGCAGAGACCAGGATCCAAGGGATCTATTCCCAGAGCCTCTTTCGTCCCGACCCACCCCTAAGTGCTTTGTCGGGTGTATACCTAGAACCAGGGAGGCCCCAGCCACGGGGGAAAGGCGGGAATACCTGGCAGCCTTTCTGCCCTAAGACCTGCACACGGTATCTCGGGAGAGGAAAGCAAGGAGGTGCTGGCTCCGGCTGACCCCCAAGAGGAGCGTAGAGAGGCCCCGTTGGAATTTGGCCAGGACGCCAGACTCTTAAGATAAGTGCTAGGGGCGGGGACTCTCCGGCCTTTTCCTCCAGTGGGCCCCACTCGCCCAGGGAGCATCTCACCGACAGCTCCCTCCCCAGTCGCAGGCCCGGCCTCGCCCTGGGCCCACTACAGCTGATGCGTCCGTGGCAAAGGAACGGGGCGAAAGGGCTGAGGTATTTTTAGCTTCACACAGTTCCGTAGCTGGCAGCAGGCTGAGGAGCCAGGTCTCTGCCGAGCCAGCGTGGGAAGTGTTGTGCTCCAGGGGTTTTAATGACCACGAGGCATCAGGGACTTGGGCTGACATCTGCAGTGGAACATCATCCAACGCCCCCGCGGTCCGCCGGCTCGGCGCCGGGGATGCTGCCCCATGACAGCTCGGAGATGGCGACCCACGGATTCTGTTTGCATCCTCCCGATGGCACGGGCGGGGGTGGGGGCAGCCCCAAGCAGCAGGAGCCAATGAACTCTTAAGAAACAAGGATCCTGTTTTTGTGCAAACGCTCTTAGTAATAATCCAAACAGCGAGGGCAGAGTGGGAAGCAAATGTGCTGCATCAGCAAAATTCTCCACGGCCAGGGTTTCTGGCCAAGTTTTCCTCCTTTCGAGATAAACTCGACCCATATGTGTCCATCCTGCCTCACACCAGTAACAAACCCCAGGCTCCGCTCAGGTCAGCGGGATGAAGCTTCCTGTTTTCCTGAATAGTGATCCACTTTTTGACCAAGAAGGTAATGCCCATGGAAGTGCCAGGCCGGCTGAACCCACAGACGGGGGAGCTTGCCCTATGCCACCCCACCAGCCAACCTTAGAGATGCTCCGTCTCCAGGAGCTCTCTGGTGCCAACACATAGGCTGGTGAATCCCGATTGCAATGATGGTTCTTCCACTAGGACTCCCTGACTCACTTCACACAGGGGCCCCCAGTCGGGGGAACCGTGTCTGGTCCCTGGGCTGAATGCAAAGCAGCAACCGAGAGGCAAATCATTGGCAGGCTGATTACCTGAGCCAGCTAGCAGAGAATCTCTCCATAACTGCCCCTATTCCAGGAGCCAGTCGGGATCCACACAGTGACTGCACAACCGGGCTCATTTCCTCCTCGCACACCCTCCGTCCAGAGCCCTGATCCTCTTACTCTGCGCACTGCTGCCTGCCTGCCTGGCTCCCATGGCTTCTGGAGACCGAGACCACCACAGAGATTGGGGCCTGGGCCGAACCCGGCAAACCGCTCTCGCCAGGGCGTTGGGACAGCAGGGGGAAGCGCCTCCGCTCCACGGCCCGTTGGGGTTCATCAGGGAAGCACATGGAGCCATGTTCGTCCCTGTGACTCTCTTCACAGATCTCAGTGATGGAAAAGCCCTGAGAGATCCTGCCTAGTCCCTCCAAACAGCTCAACTGGATCCCACCTGGTCCACAGCCCACACGGCCAGGGCCGGATTGTTCCCTCCAGTCTGTTCCTAATGCTTTGTCTACACAACTGCCCTTCAAGAGACTTCCGCAGTCAGAGACACTGCTCCTGTTCTGGCCTCCACCTGGCTGGGAATGCAAATGGAGCTTCCAGGAGCCAGGATTCCCCATCCCTCACGCACCTGCTTGGGGCAGATCGTCTGGCTTTCCTCTGCCTATGCTAGTGGGCTCTCAGTCTGTTGCTAACCCAGGCAGGCTACCCCTGGAGGGCTGTGGGGTTTAGGCCAGAATCTCAGACCTAACGTGGGGCAGGGGGTTATTTGGTGATTCCGAAGACAGCAAGAAAAGGGTTTATGTAAGTGCATTAAAAACCACAGCCATTCACACGGCTCTGTCCAGGTGAGGTGGGAGGCCACATGCTTTTCTAGTGCAGTACCCAGGCGAATTGTGAATTCTCGCAAGGAGAATAATTAATAAATAAATAAGTTACCGTGGGAAGCCGTCTCCTCCCAGGCCGGGCCCCTGTGCGGCCAGCATTCTAGCACGAGTGGCATGCACGGCCCCCTGTGGGAGTGGGGCTGCAGGGGACTTGCTGGACTCCTTCACCTGCTCCTGCAGTCCTCTCGCAGGCAAAAACTCCCAGAGTCCCCCCCCCATATTAGCATCAAAGCTGGGCCCAGACAGGAGCTGGAGCCTGTCATCCCTACAATGGGATCAGGGAGTTTGGGGTGTGCAGGGGATGGTGGGATGGGGTGCCAGGATGGAAAGATTCGGGCTGAGATGGGGTGGTGGGGAGTTCAAGAGGTGCTGGGATGCCAGGATGGGCGCATTCAGGGTGCACAAGGCGTGCTGGGATGCGGGGGTTGGGGTATGCAGGGGTAATGGGGGGTTAGGATGCACAGGGGTGTCGGGGGTTGGGGTGAGTTTGCTCTGGAGCAGATTGCCAAGGAACAATGAGATCAGGGAGCCTGACCATAATCTGGGCTCCCGGCACCTGCTCTGGGCCAGGCGGTGGGGTCAGATCAGGCAGTTTAACCTGTGCTGGGCCAGCAGGATCAGAGTTTCCAACATCAGCAATGCAGCCCCAGCCCTCCATGTCCCGCCTAGCTCTCCGCAGCGTGCACTGGCTGGGTCCGGGGAGCCAAGCGATCCATTCTTTGGAGCCCTGCCAGGGGAATTCTCTCTCTCAAAGGGCAGGCAGCTGAAATCCCCTCTCCCGTCCCCCCGAAACAAAACCACTGGTAAGAAAAGGCCAGTGATCCAGGGTATCTTTCCTTTTTACCAGGCCGCTTTGTTCTTCGGTTCTTCTCTCACTCCGTCCAAAATATCCGGTGTGTTTCTGTGAGCACTCCAACTCCATACAATTGTTTTGATTTTTTGTTTTTAACTTAAACACACAGAAAGCTTCCACTGCTTGTAAACGGTTGAAGAGTCGCTGTCCTGCCGTCTCTGCGTTAACCATTTCGCTCCCAGGCCGCCCAGGGACCGGCTAGTCCTCCAAGAACCAAAGCCCGGTAAGAGACACCTCTCTGACTGAGCCGCAGCTGGTGGCTGAGGCTGATGACCGGGTGGGGTTGAGGGGGCGGGGAATAATGCCTTTGCAGGTACCCCGGCTGGCCCCCCCATGTGGGGTTGCTTGCTTATTGCACAGTGCATGGCGAAGCGCGGGAGAGTTTGGGTTTGGTTCGTTTTTCTTGGGGGGGTTCTGTCTCTCCCCCCTCCCCCGACATTCACAAAAGAATTTTAATGTTCGTTCTTTTTATATCTATAAAAAAAGGGGGGGAAGCAAAGATGATGCTTGCTGGTTGGCCGGGAGCACGGGAGCGGGGCTGGGGGAGCACCGGCTGGGTTTTAAGAGCAGCCGCATCTGTCAACCACCATGCCCGGGATCTTCCCATAGATAATCTGCTGTTTGTCATTGAAGTAAAGCATGTTGATGGGGGACATCTTGGTGGGGGTGCAGCAGGGCCCGGCCGAGCCCCGGGGGTTGGCCTGTTGCACCAGGTGGGTGTGCGGGTACTTCTGCATGAACATGTACTCGCACTGGCCCGAGCAGTAGTTGGCTTTGTACCGCTTGGGGGCAATAATCCAGTCCCAGCCGAAGGCCTCAAAGTCAACAGTCAGCGGGTAGCGGCAGCAGCGGGACTCGGTGGAGTGCTCGTCGCAGTCCAGCCCCAGGTTGCGCCGCGAGCGCTTGTTGTTCTCCAGCACGCGGAGCTCCATGAAGGGATGCTGGGGGGAGAAAGCACACAGCTGAGACTTGGCTCCGGGACAGCTAGGGCCAGCGTTCGGGGAGGAGGGGCATCAGCTCCCTCTACCTACCCATCCTTCCCTAGCTACCTGTTCACCCAGCCATCCCTAGCCTCCATCCACCTAGCCACCCTTCTGTATC